GATTTTGGATATTCGCCCATTTTTTACAACTTTTGGTACTATTGCACTTGCTACTCTATAGAGTACAGAAAAAAACTTAAATGTTGCTTTGAAAATTTGATATGGAGTTTCCATCCAAAAAATATAAAAACTTATTAATTAGAATTTACCATGATATCGTTGAATGATAAGCCAAACCTAATTATCCTTATACCAACTATGAGTTTGGAAGTCAGGTACGACTTGACATGAGTATATCAGACTACTTGACTAATAAATCAAACTCTTGGTTTCTTTAGCCTTATTATATGTATTTGTTAATCCAAAAGTCCTAAATTTCTAGCCCATGTAAATTTTAAACATTGTTTTCCATATTATTATTTATATTAGTGTAAAAATGGACCAAAAAATAAAATTTACTAAATTAAACAATATAATTCTAAAGTTAAAAAGGCTAAACAGATATAGTAATTTAAAAGCATAGAATGTAAAAAGGAAGGAGAGAGAGAGAGAGAGAATTCTTGATATTGCTAGAAGACCTTCTCCTCTTTCTCTTTGAAATTTAAAGAGGTTAAAAAAAATGGATTAGGCCAGGAGAAGAAATATGCATGGGAAAAAGGGAGAGGGAGAGGGGGGAAAGTGTTAAGCCTGAGAGCGATTATCAAGCAAGTGTGTGTGTGTGTGTGAGAGAGAGAGAGAGAGAGAGAGAGGGAGAGAGATTTATCTTTCATAGTAATCATATTTAAATACCTATGGCATCAACCCACTAACTTTTGTGGGATTAAATGAGAATATTAAAGTTAAAAAGTAAAAGTTATCAAGTTATAAAATATCGCAAGTAAAATAAAATATGGATCTAAAATAGAGAACAAGGTTCAGAAAATGTATTTATCATGGCCTTATTATGTCTATGTATATAGGTATAATAGATCTCCAAGGTTAGTATACTATTACTTAACTAATGTTTATAAATACTTATAATTAAAAAACTTATAAGTTAGGATTCAATTATTATGAAAAATATTAATAGTATTATCTCAAAATAATATCAATTTATAAGAATGGAAAAAGAAGTTTAATTTTTAATTTTTTAAGTATGGTTAAATAAATGAATTTGAAAAAAATATTTTAGGGTTAGACTTTAAGCAACTTTCTAAGTCAAATAACTTAAACATTTCATGATCCTTTAAAATACTTAGCCATTGACTAGTTTGGAGAAAAAAACTCATATATTCTAGTCTTTATTACTTTATGTCCTAATAGAATACCTTAAAATTGATCTATTTTAAAGGCATGAATATGTTTTTCTTAAGATAAATGTTTCAGGATAAAAGAAGAATACTTTGCAATATAACCACTTGGACCTTTGTTTATGAACTTAAGATGTTGTTTATGCACTTAACATGTTGATAGGAATTGCACCTTTTACCCCTCTTCATATCCTCCGACCTAGTAATATTTAGTTCAATCCCCCCTACCCTTGTACCTTTTTGAAGTGGTCGCGACCCAAAAAAGCTTCTAGAAGCATAGTTAAGATGATAACCAAACTTATCTCAATAAAATTAGAATTTTAAAAATATATAGATCTCAATTTTTTTTGCTTAAAAGAGACTTTGTTTGTAAATATATTCAAATTCTACTTTGCAAGTTGAGATATACTAAAACGAAGAAACTTGTCCTAAAAAAATTATTATATATTCTTAAAAAATATATATATATATATATATATGTATATGATCTCATGCCTTAAATATATTTTGCATTTTTAAATTGAAAAATAAAAATAAATTTTACAATAATTTATATAATTTTATAAGATAAAAATTGTCTGCATAAAGCAACAGACGAAGAATTTTCTCATTTATAATATTGTTTTAAAAATAAAAAAGTAAAAGAATTTGCTTATATATAATAAACAAGAGAAATAATGGTAAAAAGCAGAATGGGGAAAATTTCAATTTCTTTGATGCTTGGCAGCTTTCCTTTCTTTCAATCACTCTGCAAAAAGTTGAGACGTTGCTTCCTTCCTTTCATCTCCTGCCACGTGGCACATTAACCTCCATGCATCTGCATATATTATAATTTAATTTATGAACTTATAAAAGTATTTTAAAATGTAATTTTTATTCCTGCAATTTTTTTTTTCAGAAATAATAATAATTTTCTTATATTACATGATAAAAATAACTTAAAAATACAATATTTATATTTATATTTATGACAGAAAATTGAAAAAAAAAAAAATAAGTCTAATTATTCTTCCTCTTATCAACTAAATTGCTTAAACAAAACAAATTGATAATTTTAATTAAGGTATATTTTTAGTTGTTGTGACTTTACACTCCATTCAAAAACTTAATATGTGTTAAAAAAAAATTTGTTGTTTCCTGTCAAAATTTTCAGTTGTATAAAAATATTTTAAATAAAAAAAATTATTAATTTAAAAATTAAATTATAATAGAAAACTTTTTGTGATATGATTATACAATGAAGAATATTTAAAAAATAAAACAAAACAAAAAAATGTAGAATTTACTTCTTATAAGATACGTATCAATTATTGTTGAAAAAGTGTTTGAAATGGTATAAAAAGATGTAAGTATTAGATTTAAATAAGTTGGGATAATGACCCCCACAAAATTATTTCCTAAGAAAAAAAAAAAATTAGGAACTAGTATTATTGAGTAACCAAACATTTTAGTTATCTATTTACTATTTTAATATAATATAGTTCATTCAAAAAAAATGTTGTTATATTAATTTATGATGGAGATTAGACAAGCACGTGTCACAATTTTTTTTTTTAAAGCAAGAAAATCTTTATTATCTACTACGGTGTACAACTTTTAATAATCAACATAATATGATAATATATTATAATAAAGTAATTTATTAATGGATGGAGAAAACACGTGAATACATGTACATGTACATGTACATAACAAATATCATCTATACGATATGACCTAAATGGTTTTGATTGATGCTATAATTCAATGTCGGTTTTTTTTTTTTTTTTTAAATAAATCACAACAAAATTTTAAAAAAATTTAAAAGATAGAAAGTATATAAATTAAATTTTTGTCATTTCAATTTATTTATACAACTTATTTAATTTAGAATGTATTTTTTCGTGCAACACATTCTAATCTTTTCTCAAATTTACCAAGAATTAATCCATCTCCATCTCCATTTCCATTTCCTTCATTTCCTTTCCTTTTTAAATGCCATTTCCATTTTCATCAAGCAAATCCATTAAATCCATCGATTCAATCTTATGAACCCATCTCTACCTAAATTCTTAATCAAATTTCTTAAATCCATCAATCAAATCTTGTGAAACTCATCTTTGTCTAAATTCTTCACATAATCTATCATGTGGTTTGATTATTAATATATTCTATTCTGAAAATATTTTTATATATTTAAAAAATATTTTATACGTAACTTTATTTTAAATATATTTTAAGAATGTTTTTTATATTATGATAATATTTTTTAAAAATTATAATATTTTGTATATATAAAAGTTACAACTTAAATATTTAAATGTACTCTTATTTTCATTATAGTGGATGAACTTTTTTCTGATTTTAATCACAGACATAAATATAACTATCGAACCACGTAAATTTTGTATGTTTTTTTTTCTTTTACTTTTTATTTAATATGATTATATGCGTGATTGAGATTAATTTTCATAATATAATCTTTTTTAAAAACTTAAATCTCTTTAACCCTCACTATATCCCATGATATTTGCACATTAAGCGCAAACCTACATACCAAAATTCGATGAAAGTTATTGTAGTAGAATTTAAAAGAAGAAATTAGAATAATTCTAAGTAATTAAAATTAGAAAATAAAATCGATAAAAAAACTAAAGTTGTGAGAAAATCTTCAAATTGATCAATAACCAAAATTTAAAATATAATGAATCAATAACTAAAATGATTTAAAATCTATAGTTCAAGCCTTTAAAACTTCCATCCAAGTGTAAGGATATATTTGGTCTGATGAATATTTATACCATGAGTTGATAAAAAGCGTGTAAAAAGGTCTAGATGTATTCCAATTATTTTGATTAATGCTACAATTTATACTATTATACTTCCAAATTTACCCTCCATCAGTCCAATTATTTACATAGACATCCCTACTGAAACAATACTTTGGGTGGGAGGAGGTGGAGAATATAATATAAAGCTTTGTTAATTGCTGCTGGTGTTTCCCTTCTCCTCCGTCTCCATCTCCATCTCCATCCATCTCTGCAATCTCAAAGCATTACACACAGATTCCGCAAAGGTTAAAAAGTTCTTTACCTTTTGTTTTCTTCTTTTCGTAAATATCTTTGCGCAATTAACTTCATTCAAGTTTTGATTTCCCCTTCTAAATATCTTAACCTAACTAATCCATTTCATGTTCGTGAAGAGAGGAATCAAAAAAATTGCAACAGTCTGCAGCAAAGTTCCTCTTTCCCTGAAAAATTTCCATAGCCAAGTAAGTGATTTCTTCACATCTTCTTCCTCTTCGTCTGTTCTTTCTTACTATTCTTGGCAACTCTTTCAATCTCTCTCTTCCTTTTTTTAGGGTAGAGGAAAAGAAAACAAGTTATATACTGATTTTTTATATGGAAATGAGCTTATACCAACAATGATAAATACTCAACTCATATCTTAGTAATCTAGAGTATGCTGTGTAGGATCTGTTGTACTGAATGGAGTTTTATGTAAACTCAATATGCATTTTATAATTTTTGGATCTGTGTTATACAATGTAGAAGCCATTAATATACATCTTCAACCTCTGGACCATTGATTAGTTTAATTTTTTTTTCCTTCTATCTGCTGGTTTTTCCGTCTTTGATTTTTGGGTTGCTTTAGAATAGAATACAAAGTTTAAATCTGATATGTTCATGATCAACCTCAATCATCTTCATCCATGAGATAGATATTGAAGATAGAGTTAACATATCTTATCAATTTAAACATGGGATGAGAAGTGAACCTTATGTCGTTCTATGTATTACATTTATTCTTATTTAAAATGTATACAATCTTCCTTTGTAGAATTAATAAATGTGAAGGAATAATTTTGTTTAAATTTTTATGTGAGAGTTTACATATCTTGTAATTAATCTTCTTAAAAGAGGAAGAACACCACCTTCCATCTTTCCTTTAATTTCCAAAACCAGCAACTAATTAATACCTAATTGATTAATTAATAACTCTCACTTTATTAATCAATACTAATATTAATACCTAATTAGTTTTTAGTTAATCTTATTCTTCTTCATTGAAGAAGACGCAGACAGGAAGGAAACCACCTCGGAAAAGTCTCTATTAGAGTTTTTCTGGTCGCATCAACGGTGACTCTATCATTAAAAAAACTGCAATACTTCCTCTTATGGAGAAGAACCACGATGTTTGATCTATCGAGTCATGACTTTGCAGACTGTTTCGGAGATTAAATTCTTTTATTAATCTCCACACATCACGATAAAGTGCGATGATGAGAGGATCAGAGACTTAAGCTTCATTT